AGAAATATGTACAGCTATGAAGCGGCTGAATTGGGGGGGATGATGTTGGCATTAATTTGGGTCACAGATGCGTGCCCAGCCACCGCGGTCATCCTGATTGGACTATGTACAATCAGAAATGGTGCTTCAGCGAGCAGATATGATCTGCTTAATGAAATATTACCATAAACAGAATGGAGGCAGCTGGACATAATCATCATAACAACATGGATCCCAGAGCATTAGAATCAGATGATTGGCTTCTCTTGCACCGTTTAAGCCTTCTGTTCATGGTTTTTTATGTTGCTCCAATCATCGGGGAGTGTTGGTGTCAAGATGTCCTCTTTGGTTGCCCCTGTTAATAAAAGACCTCAAACTTGGGCTTTCCCTTTCCAATATCTTTAAGAGGCTTTGGGCTATTAATTTGTAGCCCATCTCATTAGGGAGCTGTGATTTATGATGATGGACTGAAGAGAACTTGTCATGCCAAAAATGTATTTTGGTTAGGATTTTTTTTCTTAATTACAGTGTAGTCCTTTAAAACCAAAGGAAACTAAAGAAAAATAACTTTTGGTGCACTAGTAGGGTGCCCTCAATATTCTCTTGTGTGGCTCTTAAACTCCCCCATTTTCCCAGCCACTGTAGAAGTATTCTGAGCATTTGAGTTGAACTTCCACTGTGCTTCAAGATGCAAATGCATTACTTCTCTTCTTAGAGTACTTATATATTTTATAAAACTGAAACAACTTAAAAACTATACATACAGTAAGATTTTCAAAGTGCTTAGATTATGTAAGAGCACAAAGTCAATTGAACACTTTTGAAAATCTCAACCATAATCTATTCAATAGAGCTACAGGCACACAACACTCTAGTCTAAATGCAATACTCTTATTCCTGTTTGAAGTGTGCCTACACTGAGGCCTTGACTTATCTATGCTGAAGATCAACACTGCCACGATCAATCTTCTGCACTTAGATTTAGCGAGTCTAAGACTCACTAAATTGAACTCTGAAGGCACCCCCACCAATGGCCAGTACTCCTGCTCTGATGGGAGCATTTGCTCCCATCCGTCTCCCAAGGTGGGGACGCCGCCAAGCTCAGCTTAAGGTAAACTGAGTCCAGATATGTATTCTGTGTAGCTGAAGTTGTGTACCTTAAGCCAAGCTTCCAGGTCTAGTGTAGACCTGGCCTGACCATTCAAATTAACAGTATCAGAGGGGTAGCCGTGTTGGTCTGAATCTGCAAAAGTGACAAGGAGTCCTGTGGCACCTTATAGACTAAGGGTATGTCTACACTAGCCCCCTTGTTCGATCTAGGGAGGCTAATGAGGGCGACCGAAATTGCAAATAAAGCGAGGGATTTAAATATCCCGCGCTTCATTAGCATGTTCCTGGCCGATTGCCATTTTAGAAATTGACTGGCCCGAAGTAACGGCCCGCGTCTACATGTGGCAGTGAAACAGGATTCCGAATTAAAGCCCTAAATCGAATTAGCTGGTAAACCTCATTGCAGGAGGAATACCAGCTGATTCAGTTACTTCAGGCTAGTCAATTTCTAAAATGGCGACCGGCCGGGAACATGCTAATGAAGCGCGGGATATTTAAATTCCACGCTTCATTTGCACTTTCTGTCGCCCTCATTAGTCTCCCTAGATCGAACTAGGGGGCTAGTATAGACATACCCTAACAGATGTATTGAAGCATAAGCTTTCATGGGCAAAGACCCACTTTGTCAGATGCATGTAGTGGAAATTCCAGAGGCAGGTATAAATATACAGGCATAAGAAAAGAGTACCAAATCAAGAATAAGCATAGAGATAACGAGGTCATTTCAGTCAGGGCAGTACAGGCAAACTTCCCCTGTTGACCAGGCAATATCAGTCTCTCTGGATCTTAACTGCTGCACGTCACGGTCATGCAGGAGAATCCTGGCAGCTCTGGTCTTAAGCTGTGTCTCAGAAGTGAGTTCTTCCAGGTCTTCCCTCTTCTTCTTGGTGTTCCTTGTCTCCCTTTGGTCTTCTTCCAGCCTTCTTTTTGGAGTCTGCCTGTACTGCCTTGACTGTATTGACCTCATTATCTGTAGCCTTACTTTTGATTGGTACTCTTTTTTTATGCCTTTATATTTATACCTGCCTCTGGAATTTCCACTACATGCATCTGACCAAATGGGCCTTTGCCCACGAAAGCTTATGCTCCAATCTGTTAGTCCTAAATTAACAGTGTAA